TGCAAGGTACAAGAAATTACTGGGATGCCCCTGATTAGTGATGGGACACCCAGATGACTTAAATCATTAAACAGGATTAGGCCCATTAACACAAGCCCAGTTACAAGATAAGTTAAACATAAGAATGGGCTAATAAGAACTCTTATCAGCCGAACATAACTTTAACATTCTAACGTCAAAGAATTAAAAAGAAAGAATTCAGATATAATTTTCATAAAATTTTCCATGAAATTATTAAATTATTTTTCACCTAAGTCTTGATGGAACACTGTCAACTGCATTTATCCATAAGCATCCAAACATGAGTGCTAAAGTTTTGGGCATAGAAAAACATTACTTGAATTTGTGAGACAGGGCTGGAACCCAGAAGTATGAACTGGCCTCCAAGTTCCAATGTCCGATGTATAGCATGTCTAATAAGATTCACACCCTTTTGTGGAACCAGTCTTGTTATGCAACTAACCTATTTCAGAGAAGACCAAAGAGTTTTAAGTTAGATAATGAGAAAAAATAGCTTCATACCACCAATTAAAGGCTATCATTAATTAGACTGAATTCATTTGCAAGTGGCTTTCCTTATCACAGATTCACAATTAGGGTGGTTACGAGATAGATTACACTTCAAATAGTTAATTTCCAGTCTTGATATTCATGAATGAAACAGTACATACCTGGAGTAAAAAAGATCCCACAATCCACAATCCACAATCCAAAAAAGGAAGGCACACACCTCCAAAAACAGGCTATTCACAGCATTCGGCTGTTACCAAATGTACCATAGCCATAGGTATGGTACCTCTTCTTGGTACAATGGCCAAGAGAGAGGAGAAAAAAATGTTTACACCAGGATGATTTGAGTTTTTTTTTTTTTTTCCTTTTCCAGTGAAAAAAGTAGGTTCCAAGTGAAAGAATCACAATATGAAAGTTTTTGAGCCCAGAAGTGTTCTGAAACCATGTAATACAAGAAGAAAAAAGAGAAAAGAAGGAAGAGAGAAGAGAGAAGAAGAGAGGAAGGGAAGAGGAGAAAGAAATTGAGAAAGACACCCAAAAATCTAGCTGGTAGCGTCCAGTCTTCTATTTATATTATGGTGACAGCTCATAATAAGAATAAAAGAATAAAAAGACAAAAAAAAAACCCACGACAATGTACTAACAGATTTACAACATAACCTATTCAGACTTCATTGCACATGCCCAGGTCATAAACTTCAGTATCATCTATAAAACTTGTCCCACAACACAGAACAGACTTTTACCAATCACCACAACTCAAACAAATGATGTAAAGGACTGCCACATAGCAATCATCATATACTCCAGGTATAAAATGTCAACACTCTTGTCTGAATAGAGAGAAGAACAAGAATAATCTTAGAGGTGTGTCAAGAATGAATGACCCCCACCTCAAAGAGTCTCTTATATATTAAAAGATATGTACAATTACAAGAATGCCCATATAGGGCTGAAAGAGAAAAGAAGAATAAGAAGTATAAGTAATGTACAACAAGGACTATACTAATAAGATACATCAAGTTATAGAGTCTCCACATAAAATAGATCATACAATCTGAAAGAAAACTCAGAACTGACGCAAAATCCCTGCTACACAGTTCTAATCACCAAAAAAAAAAAGTCCTTTACCGCATGTCTCAGCACAGGAACATCAATTCTTTATCAATAGAATTAAAGTCAGCATACACCACTGGCACATAACCAACTTCATGATCCAAAACTGTCACAGAGAAAGCACACCGATGCCTTATCTCTTCATTCCAATCACTCGGTCACCCAAAAATTTGATTTCCTTGGTGCTATGACCAAGGGAAAAGGAAAAAGAATGAAAACAATGGTCTGAAAATCAGTCCAAGTCTTCTCTATGCAGTCACCACCCAGAAAATAAAATTTAAGAGAGAAAAGAGAAAAAAATATTTATGGATTATTGTATCTGCTCTGATACCATGAAAAACACGGGAATCAGATTTGTATTAGCAGAAAAGTCAGAGAAGAGGAGAGAGAGAGAGAGAGAGAGAGAGAGAGAGGAGAAAAGATAAGACAATATGTAGAGAATGTCAGAGTAAATTCACATGGAAGAGAAGAATGAGAGAGAACTGAATGGGTGTGTCTCAACTGACCACCCACACCCAGAAATTGATATGCTCCCAAGATACAAAAATAACAAAAGACAAAATTAACCCTCTTTGTCTCTAGACTCCCCCTCATACTGATGCCAGGGAATGAGCATCAGTTTGTCCATGAGAAAAATGTTCAATGCTCTTGTACAAAACATCAGCTGTTACAGGGGTATGTTCATTTTTTATACTTTCAACTCTTCAAGCCCTTTCTATGAACCAAATAATATAAATATACATCAGCTGTTACAGGGGTATGTTCATGTACAGAACATCCTGTACCACAGAGGTGGGGGATTGGAAAACATCTCTACCAGTGAAATAAGTAATATCAACCATCAACCAATTTCGATATTTAAAATCAGGGTCAGATTGACAGCTATGTCTGAGAAGAAAGCATTCATACTCACTGTGTTCATACTTTTATGGGACTGCTCATGGAATTAGGATCTTCCCAATGCCATTTGGCCTGCTGTATTCAACCTACAACACCTTCTGGAGGGAGAAGAATATATGAATGAACTAATTTTCCACTCAATTCTATCCTTGAAAGGTACATCCATGTCCCTTTTATCAAAGGGTAAAGGTAAGATACATTGACAGCTATCAAAACTACATCTAGACTTTCTCTCTCACCATGAGTGCAGTGTCTCATGCACAACTCCCCAGTCCCCTCCAGTTGGTATAGCTTATCAGTCATGACCACTGGATAATTATATCATTTCATCAAATCCAAATCTCCTCCAGAGGGCTCAAATCATCCAAGATCAATTGATCTCATGTATATGACAAATCTCCTTTTACACGACAGCAATGCAGTGCAGCAAGATTTCTGTATTGAAGATCATGAGGTTATTTTTTGGAATTCTAATAAGAGAATAGAAATTTACCAGCGGTTGCTTGGCATTGTCACTCAAGAGGCCTAGCTGCTTTCTTATAGCTATTTTATTTTCTAGTTTCCCTTGAAGATCATCAACATTATACTGTGCTTTTAGAAAACCATCAGTTGCAGGATTCCAAACATCGGTATCAATTCCATTAAGAATTCCAACAAACTTTTTGGAGTGAGAGTTTAGTGTAGTTTGGAGCCCCCTTCCTCCCTGCAAAACACCACAACTTGGTTACAAACTGGAAAAAAAAAGGGAATCATGCACTTATACCAAGGGATAATATTTCACCAGTGTAATTGAACTGATGCACGAAAAATATCACAAAGATTATCATCATTGTAATGACCTAAACCAAACTACTTGAGGATACTAGGAAACTTGTTCCTCTAGTGATTGCGAAAATGGTAAATGAAAATAAACTACTTAATATAGAGAATAATCCTTCAAATGCAATTAAAAAGAACAAATAGCATTATGATATTAAGTCATTGTCTGTACTTTTGTTTCTTTGGTAAACATCATTGACAGTACATTTATGTTGAGTAACACCATGTAAGAAGCTTAGATATAAGAATGCTTCGTGCCTATTTAAGACCAAGTAAATTTCTCGGTCTCTATGAAACTACCCCTTTTCATTCTTTGTTTCTTTTTGTTATGCATAACAAAAAATTTTACATGAGAGAGGGAGAGAGGAGAGGAAGCAAGGACTATAAGAGAATCCACATAGAAAAGAAGCTGTTAGAAGCTAGTTCTTATTCTATTTGTTAACAGGTTTACGCGGCAAGGGCATAGAGGTTTTTTCTTTCTTTCTTTCCTTTTTTTTTTTTGAGAGAGAGAGAGAAGGTGAAGTAATGGTTTGTATTAGTATACTGTAAGCACAGAATACAAGTGTATTGAAAGATCAAACATGTACAGCCAGGAAATATACATTAGAATTCACAAAATGATCCCCAAATAACACCGAAGGCAGGGCTCAAGAAGCTGATCAGCTTATCTGATTAGCCAAAAAGGATGCTGTTATCAAAATACTGATCGTGAGGAATTCTTCTAAAGAGGTCAGTGTCTGAAAGCCCAGAATGACCAGAATGGATTGAAGCCACAACCTGTTGCACCACCTTGTCCAGAGCCTAGCTCTCCTTCTCAAGAATCCTTCTATTTCTCTCCTTCCACAGTCCCCAGCAAATGGCATGGGGGACTGTACTCCACAAAAGCTTTCCTTTTTTATTTAAACCCAGCAGTTTCCAGGACTTCAGAGATCTAACAAACAACCTTGGTTGGCATCACCTTACATTTAGCAGCTCACAGACATGATTAAATAAGAAACTTGCTACTTGACAGTGCAAGAAAAGATGATCTGAGGATTCTGCTTCCTGACCACACATCACACAAGCCAAAGAATTCAAAGGCATACCCCTTCTTGAAGTACCTTTGATCAGCACTTACCATTTACAGCTGTCCACATTAAGAAATTTATCTTAGAAGGGATATGAGAGACCCAAACCTCCTTCCAAGGAAAATCCAAGGGGGGTGAGTGAACCAAATTCTTATAGAAGGATTTGACAGAAAAGTTTCTGTCTTTGGACCATCTCCACAATCTTCCATCCTTCTGAGTCTGATCAGGTAAATGGGCCTGAATGAGTTGGAGAAGGCTTACCAGATCAGAAATCTCCCAATCATTAAGTTGCCACCTAAAGTTGGGCTCCAAACTCCCACAGTTCCAATCTCAGTCTATCTGATCTGCAACCAGAGCATCTCTGTTTTCTGCTAACAAAAATAGGGAAGGGAATTCATCCATCAAAGCACTATTGCTACACCAGGGGTCAATCCAGAACCGAGTTCTTCTACCATCCCCTACCATTAACTTAATTCCCTAGGTGAAGCTTGAAAAGGATTTCTCTATTCCTTTCCACACTGAACAACCAAACGAAGAAGAGATAATACCTGGGTCCTAGCCATTACTATTCAAACCAAACTTCTCTTCAATTAACTGCCTCCATAAGCTAAGAAGATGAGCATTAAATAGCCAATACCACCTCCATAGCAGGGCTGTATTCATCTTCCTCAAGCTTCTCACGCCCAGTCCACCTGCTGCAATGGGTTTATAGACAATCCCCCACCTCACTTGATGGACTTTCTGATCACCTCTCTTACCAACCACAAGAAATTCCTCTGCAATCTCTCTTAACTTAGCTGCTACTTCAGCTGGAATAGGGAAAAATATAAAGAAATAGGTAGGGTGGTTTGCTAAGGAGCTTTTCAGAAGAGTTAGCTTTGCACCTTTGAAAAGATATTTGGCCTTCCAAGTGGATTTAGAGGTACATTTGGCCCCATTGGATCCCAAATGGATTTAGAGGTACATTTGACCAAGTAAATTTCTCTAGCCTTTCCACCATTGGATGGATCCCAAATGGATTTAGAGGTACATTTGGCCCCTATTGGGAGGCCTAGAAAGTTAAAGGGGATTTTCCCCATTTTACAGCCCAATTCAGAGGCAAGGGAGTAGATATTCTGAACTTCACCAACCAGGAAAATTTCACTCTTCTGGAAATTGACCTGCAGACCTGAAACCAAGGTTCAAAATATCAATACGCAGTATCGATAGATTTTTTTGTTTTTTTTAGTTTTTTTTTTCGAATCTGGTTTAGAGGGGCCGGTATAAGGTCCGTCCACCCTCTGAACCAATCAAGACCCCGAAACACCCCCTGTAGGGGCGTATCAGGAAGCCCCCGATACGATACGTATCAATCAATATGGCCTGATACGTATTGATACTTTGAACCTTGCCTGAAACCACTTTGAACCAAGCAAGAATCAGCCTAAGATAGAACAGCTGCTCTCTCTCAGCTTGAAAAAAGAATAAAGTATCGTCTGCATAATGAAGTAATGCCACCTCTGTACCCCGTGGCAGACCTTGAAGCCTTCCAAGGCCCTGTTGGTCATCCTAGTTAGAACTTCCACTACGCAAATGAATAGAAAAGGGGAGAGAGGATCTCCCTGTCTAAGACCCCTGGAACTCTTGAAAAAACCAGTAGATTTCCCATTAAATAGGATAGAAAACTTGGTTGTTGTGATGCAAACCTTAGCGCAATTCCTCCATTTCTGGCCAAAATTCATTCTCTGGAGAACTTTGTCAAGGAAGGCCCAATTTACACGATCATAAGCCTTCTCAAGGTCCATCTTGCACACCACCCCTGGACTACCCTCCCTAAGCTTGGAGTCCACTAATTCGTTAGCTATCAAAACCCCTTAGAGCATTAGTCTCTCGGGTATAAAAGCACCCTGGTTAGCAGAAATAATACTTGAGAGGAACTTCTTCATTCTATTTGCAAGGGTCAAGGGTCTTGGCCAAAATCTTATAAAAGCTGTAAGTATCATTCTAAGATTTGGATGGGGTTGCACACTTTTGGGATCAAAGAAATGTAAGTATCATTCAGACTCCGGTCCAGGGAAGCTCTTTCATGGAAGTCTAGCATCACCTTCATAACATCTTCAGAAACGCCCAACATTTCTTAAAGAATAGGATAGTGAAACCACCGTGGCCAGGGGTTTTCTCCCATTCCAGCCCCTCTATTACCTCCCACACTTCCCTTTCTGAAAATGACTTCTCTAGATTGAGATATACTTTTATAGTTAATGCATTTTTATTTTTCTTTTGAAGTATAGTGACTTGGTAATTGAAATCATATCAATGTAGAAAGCCAGTTATCCAATCACCAATTCCCTACTGGTTTTTTTAGGAAAATATTTTTAAAAAATTATGCTGATTTTAATGAAATATTGAAATACTGCTGACATATCAGCAAAATATAGGGGATATTTGAAAAGAAAAAGATTCCCGGTAGATTCCGTATCTCCACCTAGCAAATGGGGATATTTTGGGGTGCCGTACTTTATTTAGCTAACTTAGCAGCCATATCATGGTTGGATAGTACAAATGAGCAAATGGGGATATTTTGGGGTACCATACTTTATTTAGCTAACTTAGCAGCCATATCATGGTTGGATAGTACAAAAGCTAGTATGCTGGACTGTTTGGGAGGAGAGGAACTCACGGGTATTCTCAGAAAAGGAGAGAACCTCGGAAGTAATATTGGAGGTAATCCATATTAGGGTGATACATTGGCTGAAAACTTTGGCCTTGTTTGCAGACTTCTCAGTAGATGAGATGGTAAAAAACTGGAAGGAAATTGCAGAATTAGCCTCAGCTAAGAAGGCATCATTCTCTTGCTGGAGTCCCCCATCTAATGGCTTTCTTAAACTAAATTTCGATGGCAGCAGTATGGGTAATCCAGGTCCATCTGGAATAGGGGGAGCAATAAGAGATGAACATGGAAATCTGTTAGCTATGTTTTCAGGACCAATTGGGGAAGGAGACTCCTTGAGGGCTGAGATTCTTGCAGCTCTTGAAGGGGTTCGAAGAGCCAAGGAGATGCAAATTAGAAAGCTGATTATTGAAGGAGATTCTGAAGTGGTGGTGAACTGGTTAAAAAAAGATAACTCAAGGATGTGGAAGTACAGCAATGAAAAACGAAAATTTAAGTGGCTGGCTAAGGATGTTGAAATTCAGTACAAATGGGTTAAGAGAAGTGAAAACTCACTGGCAGATGGTTTAGCTAGGCAAGGGGTTAATAGAACCTCTTTGTTTTGGGCTTTATTGTAATTGTATTTGATGCTCACAGACTGTTATAGGGAGATAAGATTGTTTAGCCCCCTTGCTTTGTAATTCTTCTTAATTTTAATGAATACATTTCACAGTTATTGATCAAAAAAAAAATAGTACAAAAGGTGGTAGGCAACCCCAACCCAAGGAAAGGGGAGTTTTAGTATGTGGGCCCATAAAGATAAAAGTTACACACTGGGTAAAAACACCTGAACTCTTCCAAAGCTTCTCAGTAACTGATATATTAAGGGCATGGAAAGAAGTGGCATACTCCTCTAAGAAGAAAGAAAGAAAGGTGATGGAATGGAAGCCCCCAGCTCCTATAAAATCAAGCTGAATTTTGATGGGAGTTCTATAGGAAACCCGAGACTGGTAGGCAATTGTGGTGTTTTTAGAGGCTCCTCAAGAAAAGTGTTGGTAATGTATTCAGGACCTTTAGGGGTAGGTGAAACAATAAAGGCTGATCTATTAGCACTGCTTCAAGGGGCTAAAACTGGCCAAACAAACAGATTTTAAAAGCTTGGAGGTTGAAGGGGACTCAAAACTGGTGATATCATGGACCAACACCAAGGGTAATGCTCCTTGGATTTATAGACATTCCCCAAGGGAGATTGAAAGCATAGCATGAGAACTCAATGCTTCTTTCGCATGGATCAGAAGGACTGCAAATGGAATGGCCGATTCACTAGCCAAACAGGGAGTTTACAGGCAGCAGTTTTTTGGGGCTTTATTGTAGTACTATGTGTTGCATCAACTGTGTTTCTGCTTTACTATAATACTGTAACTTTATTCTCTTAATTTAAAAATATATATATATATATTCTTTTACCATAATTAATAAAGATCAATGTTACCTATAAAAATGTAATGAGAGGAAACTATAGATAACAAACCAAATTAATCATTGTTATTTTACTTTGAGCCTATTGAGTAAGAAGACTCCATCAGAGAATAGAAATTCCAGAGTTAATTAACCTGTTGAATCTTTTAAAAGGCACAAAAATTTTATTTTGTTATCATTATTGTTATTTTTTATTTGTTATTGTTATTTTTCTTTTAAAAGATTCCAAAACTCTTTATTGTTGGTGCAAATCCCAAAAGATATCCAAAAGAGCTGCACAGCCTTCGAAAGATACTCCTCATTAAGGATGGTTGTGCGTAAGAACAAAATACATCTGACCAGCTCTAAAGAGAAAACTCAGAAAACAGTGACAAATCCCTGTAGTACATGTTTTTCTTCCCAGGGACAAAAGCACCAAGTCAATCATCTACCCATTTATTATGAAGTGTCAGAACTTTGTAACCACTTTCTTATGGATGGTTACTCATAGGTATTCAAACTTTTCTTTTGCACAACACAAAGCTTTTGTATATATTCAATTAATATGAAAAATGAGTTCTACATTTGCAAGGGCAATATATATTTATAGCAACATTATAGAATCTACAATAGACGATGAACGAGAAGCAGCAAGCAGAGCAGCTCCAATTCCCAACCCATTTTCTAAAATCTTAGGGACGACATATGGAACAACCTCTTCCCCTAATATCTGAGCCATAGGTTGTTCCATGTATGGAACAATCGCTTCACCCTCCACTCTTAGTTCTTACACTCATTATGCCACCACTCCCATCCCTACCAATCTTCTTCAAGATTCCTACAATACCTGCAGCTACCAATCAGGCAGACCTCCTTGTCACAATGTTACATATTATAGTTTTTCAGACTCAAAATTAGCAAACAAACAAAATGGTTAAGAAGCATCTTGAAAATGTGTGCACTCTTTGGAAGCATCCATATTATACAGTTCCATGGAAACCTTCTTTGCATGTATTTAATGGTGTTGTTGTGAAAAGGATCTAGGATACATTTTACTGTAGGAGTTTGGAACACTGTAACAATGGACTCCAGATCCGCTACAAACAAGGAGCTTACAATGGGCTACATAACCCAATCACAAGTAAACACATCAAGCAACTCATATAGTTTCCAGATGTACCAGCAACTGACATGTTTACTTATCATTGGGTTATGTAGCCCATTTTACTTGTCTTGTTTGTACTTTGTAGCAGATCCAGAGCCGTGACAAGGGTATTGTTGTAATTATAACATGTTTTTGGTGGTAAAATGAAATTTCATTAAAAGAAAAAGTACAGTTATAACATAGCATATTTTGAACAAAAAATAGATGGATAGGTGTTACACAACATCCTCACATCTAATGACCTTAAAGGGAATGGGTGATATGCAATTTTTTCAAGAACCATGCATAACACACAAATCTACCCTTGTAGATGTTTGAAAACTATCAACAGTAAATTGAGTAAATCAGACCTAGCTTTCCAGTATCAATGATATTAATTTCATTAAAAGAAAAAAGTACAATTATAACATGACATATTTTGAACAAAAAATAGATGGATAGATGTCACACAACATCCTCACATATAATGGCTTAAAGGGAATAGGTGATATGCAATTTTTGCAAGAATCATGCATAACACACAAATCTACCCTTCTCCTCTGGGTAGATGTTTGAAAACTACCAACAGTAAATTGAGTAAATCAGACCTAGCTTGCCAGTATCAATGAGATTTCTAAGAAGCATCATCATCCAAGCCCTATCCCAACTATATGGGGTCATCAGATTTCCAAGAATGCAGGAGAGAGAGAGAGAGAGAGAAAACCCCCCAATGCTTCTTAAGACTGAATGGAGAATGTTACTCCAGAAAATTTGAAATACTCCACTCTTTTATAGCCTAAGAAAGACTATGTAAAGACCTTAATGTTAGTCATCCTGCTGTAGACGCAAAATCTTGTAAAGTTGCTTGGACTCCCTTATTTTACTTCTGTAATCTAGAGATGTTTCCTTTATTAATAAATTCCCCATATCAATCAAAAAAACAAAAACCTTCAATTAGTGTCAATACCTCAAAAGCATGCATAAGTGCACTATGTTATAAAGCAACTGCCTGGCAATAAATTGCATCATCTATTTTATCTGAGGAATGAGATAAATTGCACTGATATCATAAAGCAAAGTGCGTTAAGATCTTTAATAAAATGTTATTCCAATCACCAAAAATTTATTCATAGCATGATATCATAAATAAATGTGGTAGAAACTAGAAGAAACTAAGAAATCATTCGATGAACAATAATAAACTAAAAAGAAAATTTCCACAAGTATCATTCATACCTCTGCTGTACACACTTCTTGAGCATATGTTGGTGATACTGTTGTCACAATGTTAGAGAATACAATTGCACCCTGAATAATGAGAACACATAAAAGGGAGAAAAGAGATTAAGAATGCTATTAAACTTGGTTATTGATGAATCATTGAATTCATTGGGCTTTGCTTCTTTCTCCCTCTTGTTTGGTGTTGGTTGGGATTTAGGCTTGAGAAGAGGTTTAAGAGACCACAAGTTTGATCAGGTTTCCTTACTCTTTCAGATAGTCAGGTTTAAGAGACCACAAGTCCTTGATTCTTTTTTTTTTTTGGACCCTACCCTTTCAGATAGTCAGGTTTGGATTCCTAACCCTAAGGGACTCTTCTCTTGTGTTTCTTTTTTCTTATCCTTATGCTTGGATAATCCCGCCCCTATCTTCCCCTTTAAAGAAGTCTGATCAAAGCCTATTCCACCCAAGGTTGGAACTCTGGGAGCTTGTCATGGAAAGTTAAACACTTTAGACAACCTACAAAAAAGAAGACCCTTCCATTGTCTCTCTCCCAATTGTTGTATTATCTGCAAAGCTGATAGTGAGAGTTGCTACCATCTTCTAATCTCTTGCCCTGTTGTTGCAGGGCTTTGGGAAATGTTTTTTTTCCCTTGTTGGTTGCAGGTGGCCTCTACCTTTGCAGATTAGTAGTCTATTCGACCTGACAACCTTCAGATGGCCTAAGAGAAGGGGCAAGATCCTGTGGAGATGTGCTAGGACTGCCCTTGTGCGGACAACGTGGGAGGAAAGAAATGCTAGAATTTTAAACAACAAGAAGAAGAATGAGGAGTCTATCCAGGACTGCATTTAAGTAGGGCTATCCATTGGGCTAAAATTATGGATATTTGTTCCCTGTTTTCCTTTGATGATATTTGGAGGAATTGGGGAATCGTAGCAAGGAGCTCAAAAATAAAGGTAAAGCTGGCTATAGCCTGGGTTCCTCCTGAAGAAGGTCTCATTAAGCTTAACTTCAATGGTAGGAGCTTGGGGAATCCAGAAGCCACAGGAATTGGGGATGTTCTAGGAAATGCAGATGACAGTACAGTTGCTTTATTTTCAGGTCCTATTGGTAATGGGGAATCAATTCAAGCTGAATTTCATGCTGTTTTGCAGGAGCACAACTTGCTAGAGGGTTGAACATTGATAGACTGCTAATTGAAGGAGACTCAAAGCTGATAATCGGGTAGCTAAAGGAATCCAACACATTTGGGCCTGCAAGGAAGCTATGAAAATATTCAAATGGTTGACTTTCAACATGACAGTAAGAATTCAATGGGAAAGGATGTCGGCTAATGGGATAGTTGACTGTTTAGCTAAGCAAGGGGTACATAGGGATCATCTTTTCTGGGCTCAATTGTAATTCAGTGCTTTTTGGGAGGCTGCATCTCACGCCTCCTTATGGGAAGTTCTTTGTATAATTTGCTTCTGCTGAACTATTAATAAAATCTTTTCTATTACTTATCAAAAATAATGAATCATTGAATTCACTACCTTAACAGGATTGACTCTGTCACGGGCCAAGTTGTCTTGCATCCTATCTGGTTTATTTAGCTGATGAACATCAAGACCACAAGATGCCAAGTCTGAAGCAGGTGCTGCCCCTTGATACTCAAAATTGTGGCAGGTGAAACATATTTGAGCTGAATTAAGACCCTTGTGGATATATAGATCCCAGTAGAGTGGTGCCTGGAAATGCAAAATTTGCTTATTACCTTAGATGACTATGGAAATGAAAATTATTTTTTTTGGATAAATTTTGGAAATGAAAAATATTCTCATTTTGAGTTTAGAAGACGAAGCCTGAATTTAAGATATATTATGTCCCTACAACAAAAGCCGTCTGCCAGTCATGGCAATGGATTATATCTGGTTTCTTGCCCGCTTGGAGAATCAACTCAAGTGCCGCACGGCTAAAAAATGAGAAACGTTTGAAATCATCACTCTCCCCATAATACTGTCCTCTCCAGAAAAACTTATTCGGATGATGAGGCTCAATAAAATAGACAGGAAGGCCTGCATTATAGAATTCAAGTGAGCAAGGTCTACTACAATGTTCCGGCTATCTTCATTTTGATGTACAAGAATTGGAATACAATGAGTTCATCATAAAAAAGATGGAAATATAGCTCAAATACTTCAGAGTGAAAATATTCCACCCCTTCAGAATTAAAAAAGTGGAGAGTAAAAATAAACACTGGAATTCTCAACCTTCAACTGTCCCAACCCAGACTTTATTTTTGAAAAGCTGGCCATCAAAATATGATTCTACAACCACATCTAGAGCCTGCATGAATAATTAGGGTATGAAAAAAGGCTTATGCTTTAACATGGAAACCATATCAAGAACATTGATGAAACCTTTTTCACCTCAGGCAGACAATTAACATACCCTTAAGTCACCAATACAGTCATATTTCAAGCAATCATATTTGGGAAGTACAATTTCCACAAGGTGTCCTTTCTTCTGCAGTGCTTTACTAAGACCAGTCACAACATCCCCTAGGCCACCAACCTTTGAAGCAAAAAATAAACAGATTATCATCTACATATTGAAAGAGGTAATGTTACTATTTTGATAGACTTCCAACCAAAGATAAAGTATTTCATCAACTTAAAACAGTTAAACAATTCAGAGAAACAAAATAAGTAGGCATGACAAATGTGGGCATCAGAGATAGATATACTGACACTAAACCTTCAACAAACCCAAATTTCCAAGATGTTGAGTAATTTAATCATGTAAGGGTGAATACATATAACAAGTTTATCCAGATAATAAGTTCTATGAAAGTTATATAAAGAGGTTATAAGTAACAGCTTGTGAATAATGTGTTGCATGAATCAGGCAAACAAGTACAAGACTGCCTAAAACACTGATATACTTCAGAAAAGCATGCCTTGTGCCTTTGTCCAGGTAATAATAAATAAGGAAAAGAAAAGACCTTCAGGATCCAGCTTGCATAACAAAGCTCCAGGACCTAGTTTGTATATTATACCAGAATGAATAAGGCAAAAAGAAAGGTTTAAACCCCACGAGAAGAAACCATGCAAAGACAATTATGACAAAAACATATTCTGATACATTTAAATTCCATAAGACATTTAATCTCAATTTTCCACTTTTGACATGCTTTGACAAGAAAATACAGATTTTCTACAAGTACAAGATATTTTAAAACTTGATGTTCTTTACACAGAAAAAAGTAGAACACGAAGCTGCAATTGTAACTCAAATTTCTTGAACGCAACATGCATTATTCTATAATCATCATTCTGAAGTCAAAAAACATGTTGTGAATATAATAAACAGAAAATAACAAAATCAAATGAAAAATAAAAAGAGTAAACATATCTACATTTTTAATTGTAAATAAAAAAAAATAAAAAAATAAAAAAAAAACTTAAACGGTGTCAGCAACAAATAAGAGTATACCTTTGCCACAGGTGCCATCTCTGCAGCAATATGGATGATATGAAACCCTGGACTGCAATGATCGAAAACAAAAGCAAGGGCTATAATAGAAACTAATGCTTAATTTGGAAGGAGTGCAAATACATACAAAATAATACAAAATACAAGATTTTGTACTCTACAATCTTTTATTTGTACTCCTTCCAAACTGAGCCTAAGAAAATATATGGGAACACCTACATGTATAACCATAAGGAATGCCTAAACAATTGCTTGCAAAAACAATTAAAAAGGAAAAGCAAAAAGCAGTACCGTGTTGGTGATGTAGTAAGCCTGAGAAATGTTGCCACAGTTTCATGCTCATTTTTGTCCTTGCAAGTCAAGTATGCATCATGAATACGTGCATGTCTCTTCCATGCCATTTCTCTCAATATTTTTGCATCATGTGATGATATTTTCTTCTCAAGCAACCAACCATCTACAGTAAGCAATAAACGACTCCAGAACTCCCAAGGCATATTGTCAACAGGTTCATCCATTGCCCTTTTCTTGCTTTCTTCTGTAAGACTAGTAAGTATATCTTGGAATTCCTTCACAGATTCTTGATACAACTGAGCATGAGAATGTATCTCTTGGTCAGATCTTTGAAGGCGCTTTTCCAAGATTCCTATTTTCTGTTGCATTAGCTCATTATATTGTCGCAAATTTTCTGATGATGACCTATATGCATCCACTTCTCCCAGAGTTTCTTCCAACCTATCAACTTTCCTTCGGATATCATGATTTTCCTGTAACACTGAAATAGCCTGATCCGCTTGCTTGGTTGCCTTGTCAAGCAATGCTTGCAAAAGTCCCATCTTCTCCCAAAGGTCCTTGCATTCAGATTCAATGGTAGAAATTTTTGAAACATCTCCCTGAGAAACTGATAATCTAGATTCCAACTCCTTAAGGGAAGCAAGCAAAGATGACCGTTCTTTCTCCAGTGCTAACACACGTTCATCTGTTTCCTTGACCTTACTAAGTTCTGCCTTAAGTTGCCATATATCATTTTTCAAGGAGGTGTTCTCCATCCTTAGTGAACTAAGCTCCTCATTGAGTGAACTAAAGCTATTATCATGAAATTCAAGGATTTTTTCATTCAACATTTTATTTCCATTGATATGTATACCATTCACACTCCCTTCAACACCACCCCTCTCAAAGAATTCTTTTTTCAGTATCTCCAACTGACCATCAAGAACATCCACATGTATTTTTTCTTGGGTTGCAACTTTAATCCAAGCATCAATTTCTGCCAACCTCATCTGCAAGATGCTTATTTCTCCCCGCAAGACTTTCTTTTCACCAAGAATCTTGTCAAGATCATTAAGTGCACGAACTCGAGCTTGACTAAGAAGCAAGATATCTAATAAACAATCACCGAAGAAAAAGTAAGGGATAAGTAGTCTTCAATAAAATGACTAACAATTAGAACGACAACAAAATATGTGTTTATAAGCAAGAAGAAAGAAGCATCTCATCAAGACATCACAGGAATTGCCTACTCGTTTGAGTATTCCTAATCATGCCAATCAAATCCTCAAGTTGAACATTTGAAAGCTGTTCTCCACCATCAGCATTCTCCATCTATAGGATAAATGCATTCCTTATTAGGATTTTTTTATGATAAAATATTAAACCAAAAGATAAAAATCAGATGAGCTTCTATGGTTCAACCAAAAAATAAATATAAGAACTACATAAAAGTATAGAACTTGCATAAAGAAATCGAAAAAAAAAAAAAAAACTAAAGAATATGAATTTAAAGTTATAGGGATACTGAACAAAAACCAAGCATTTCCATGTGACTTTTCATGATACTGACATGCATAGAACTTACCTCTAACTTTAGTTGCATGAGAAGATAGCAAATACTTGAGTTGGCAAAAAGCCAAGGAAATGGGAATCACAAGGTTGATTGTTGAAGGGGATTCAAAAACAATGATTGGGTGACTGAAGAAAGAAGAGGGGGTGATTTGGCAATACAGGAATGACCTCAGGTAGTTCAAGATGTTGTCAAGATATATTAACACTCAAGTTAGATGGGTAAGAAGGTCCACTAATGGATTGGCAGATGGATTAGCTAAGAAAGGAGTGCTTAGAAATCACTTGTATTGGGCTTAATTGTAATGGGATGGTGGGATTCTTTTGATCTAAAGGGAATTCAGGTTTAACAACTTCTTGTTGTAACCTTTTTCTTAATTAGTTTTAACAAAATTTTCTTTGTTGCTGATAAACAATACTTGAGTTGGCAAAGATAAATAAATGAAACATTTTAAATAATGATAACATAACCCATGTGAAAAATATAAAGAAAAAAAAAAGAAAGAAAGAAAAAGAACAGAAAGAACAAGAGAAGATTCAAAGCTATTCCATACCAAGGAAATATGAAAGTAGTTAATATTATAAAGTAGGAGATGAAGACTTTAACCTTAACTCTTAAGTATGCAAGCCCATGACAGACAGATGCAATTCTTTGGAGTTTGACAAGTAATGATGCACAAATGGAAGGTTGAAAACCATGTACAACAGTCTGTAAGACATTTCATTTACTTCCAGGGGGGGCAACATTTGAATAAGCATAACTAAGGTGTCCCTCTGTCTCATCCTTCCCATCGATACTGACAATACCCTGTCACATATATCTAGAAAACAATACAATGTTCTCAATTTCATAAGAAAAGATATGCATTGTCTTATGGGAGACGTTGCCTTTCTGTGACAGCTAACCAATCCGACCGAGTTCATAGAATTTATGATCATTGAGAATGTTGATTTCTTAGAGTTATCAAAAAAAAAAAAAAAAAAAACAAATACAGTATGTTTACTATACACCCAAACTTTTTGTATAATTGTCAATTTACAATGTAAATTAAAAATAAATAAATAAACTATCCAGAAATAACTATATAGCAGATATTCGGTTGATGCATACCAAAGACTTCTCTTCTAGAAGACATGAGTTGCTAAAATCTGTTGTCCCAATCTTTTTGATGTTGATACTAGTGTCAGTACGTGATGTGGATTCCTTATCTGAATCAAAGATGCTATCTGTAGAGGAAACTTGGATTTCATTGCTTTCATCATCATTTTTCTGGGTTTCTATATTCGCGGGTGAGTGTTCAGGAGAAACATTCTTTGGCCGTTGTCTCTTATGCCGGGAACTGCACAAATTACAACCTTTGTCAATATTATAGCCAATAGTTACAGTGCAGCATTTTCGAGCCGTATGAAGTTCACAAAAAAGGACTTAAGAAAAGGTAAGGGAAAATCATTTAAGTAGCTTCTTCAATTACCAAAGATATAAGAAAGTTTGAGTTGAAGTATGTTATTTCAGTTGAGTTACCACTGTTTGATGGCCAAAGTCATAAGCAGATATTTATTTTAAATACAACCTAAAACTGTCCTTCTAAATTGAATAAGCTTTCTATATACACTTACCATATAGTGACTGGAATGACCTGCTTTGAGTTCTGACCACTGAAACAAAAAAATCTGCTTTGTTCAAAATTTTCAAGTTTTAGGTTTACTTGAGGAACTTATGCAGAGACCTAATTTATTTATATCAAGCATGTCCATCTGAGGAGACAGTGAAGGAGAGACAGTCGATAGGAGAACTATTAATTTAGACTATTGAGTAAGTAATCATAATTAAAATTGCAGCAACAATAGTTAAATTCTAGATTAATGATGGCATTACCAAAAACAAAAAATACTGATGGAACAGATAATGCAAACATTTTTGAAATTTGGGATTGTCATAGCTGACATCATTGACCAAACTAGGTACTAACAATGAAACATTTGGGGATTATAATCAATGCTCAACCTAAGAACTTGAGACTAGTTTTTTGGGTTGACATTGCAGCATCTTCATCATGAAAACATGCAACATTCCTTCGAAATATATATATAGTGGGCAACATGAACCCTGGTCTCTAGGGTCATACCTATCCCCTAGCATGAGCCCAAAGGCCCCAAAACACTGAGAAAAGATTAATGTAAAAGATATCCAAAGGGATATAAAATGCAGACTTCAGAGTGCTGATTACATAAACTTCACCTTTATCTTAGGCAAACTGGAAGAGGGAAGCGTGAAGGTGGGCATTAACTTTAATGCAAAACACCAAACCCCAAACTTTAAAATCACAATTTTACAAAGAAACACCCGAAATGATGAACTCCAGACAATTCATCATATACTTCGAGGAATAATCGGCAACCTCTACACTTCCAACATAAACAGGCCCATTCATGATAAAATTTGATCCATGGAAAGAAAGAAAGAATGGAAAAAACGTCAAAATACAGGAATCCCGATCCGGGATAAGCTTAAGATTCAAGGAGGACAAGACAAGACACCACGAGTAAATATATAATCTTTTCTACAAACCGATCATTTCCTAGTAGACAAAGTTGAAGCGAACTGAATAGCAGATCAAACAAGAGAAATAAAGGGAACAGTTTGCACTACTTATGCAACATTCTCAAGAAAATTCTGTACTGGAACGACTGAAGAACCTTAAATTCCTCTGTCGCATCCTGCAGGAGATTGTCAGCAGGCGAGGAGAAGGTAAAGGAAGCCGTGAATGCGACTGTCTGCAGTTCAGGCCACGACAACCAGGCCCGACAAAGAATGTGGGTAGCTTCGTCGCCATGAAAGCTCTGTAAATGCAAAATCACAAAACCAGAGAGAGAGAGAGAGAGAGAGCGTTTGTTTCACTGCAACTACTAATTTTTCTGTGTTACAGCGCAAAATATCTTAATCAATCTTTCTGCTCACTAATCTGAAATAAAGAAATAAAGAGAGAAAAAAACAGTGCAGAATAAACCGTTGGATTGGGGTCTTTTCTACATCAAGGAGAATATTTCGAGGGCGGTTTTATTCCTCTACGTAGAACATGGGATTAGAATCTTATATATCAATCCAATGGCTACATGGCAAACCCACACTGTGGACCCTGTATTTGTTCCTAGAAAAAAGTAATTATTTAACGGTAAATAGCGAGATTACGCGAGCTTCTGTTGCGCGAGATTTTATTCCGCTGCATGATTTTATAGATGCTTTGACTGTTGACTCTTGTTGATCACGTGACCTAAGAGCAGGTCACGTGACATGCCTTTTGGCCCATTGGGCCGGTAAAATTGCCATTGCATCGCCCAATCATCGTATGAAACGTACCACAAGTAAAACAAGCAATCGAGTCTGTTTTTCCTTTTTTGTTCTTTTTTTACTTTTTTTTTTCTTTTTTCCTTTTTTTCTTAGCTTTTAGACTTGAAGCCCAAAGCCTCAAAACTTCCTTTTCCTTTACACACTCTCTCCACAGGTGCAAATGGATCGGATCATCATCCTATTTGGTCGGATCACCCCTATTCGGATCTTCGGATTGGATTTGGACCACCCCTATCTGATCCAATGTATATTTTATACTTATAAATATATATATATATATATATATATATATATATATATGTTGTTTATTTTTTTATAAATATATATCTTTATAAATTTGTTAGTTATTTATTTTTTATAAAAAACATATATATATATGATAAAAATAATTAAAAAAGTATTTGTATTTTATTTTTACTTTATTTAAATTAGTATATTTTATTTTTCTTTTAATAATTTATTAATTTTTAAAGAAAATAAGTCGGATCAAATCAGATCCGAAGATCCAACTTACCAATAAGCAAGGTTCAAAATATTGATACGCTCGATACATTGGTATGGGCGTATCAGGCAAATCGATTCTATTTTTTTTAGTTTTTTTTTTTGAAACCGGTTCGAGGGGCCAGTTTAGGTCTCCATCCCCTGAACCTGTCAGACCCCCGATACACCCACTATAGGGGCATATCAGTGGGGTCCTAGAACAATACGTATCGGCCGATACGTATCGATACTTTGAACCTTGCCGATAAGATTTGAATTCAAATCGAGTCCTATCAAATCCGATCGGATCTTTGGATCGGATCAGATCCAACATGAACAATGTTGGGTCGGATTCAAATATACCTTGATTCGAATCCAATCCGATCCGTTTGCATCCCCCTCTCTCCCCCGAACCAATTTTACCTCCACTCTTTTAAGCGGTTAAACCTAATATTTTGTTTTTATCGGATATTATCTAAAACTCACCATGAATCCATGACTTTTTAAAATCTCAAGATGAGCCCGAATTTTATCGTCCAAAATTCTCATTCTGTTAGATTTTCCGTAAATCACTGTAATAAAAGTTGTCAACGTAAGCATGTGAGTCTTTTACATGACCAAACTATCCCCAACCCCTGCCTAAGTCCACACCAAGCTCAATCTGCATATATTTAAAATGTATATTTTAATAATCTCGGCTTACCATTCAGGGTTAGTTTAATCATGCAAAATATTTAAATACTTATGTTAACAACTTCTATTAATAATAATTAACGGTGATCTAACGAAAATCTAACAATAAAACTCACTAACAATGGCTCTTTGGAGGTGTGGAAAAGCTATGAAGTCATAGTGAATTTTAGATAATATCTCTATTTTTATTGAATAGAATTTATATTAAAATTAAAAAAACTCAAATTACATTACTTTTTATCTTTTTTTCAAAGGGTTTGACTATGATGCCAAAAAGACATGAGACACGAAAAACTTATAACCAATCAGGTGGGTTTTCATCAAAATTCAAAGAGGGTTTTGATTGGTCAAAGCCTTTCCGGTATGAGTCAGGATCCACTCCCAACAAAATACATTTCAACATACTTCCAACATGATCAAACACCACATACCTCATATATGGTGGGTCCCAATCTCATGGTAATATTTGTGGTGGCCAAGCATGTTAGAAGTGTGTTGGAATGGGCAAGGATTAAAATTTCGTCACGTATCGGCCCGTATCGGCCAATACCTTGTAGGGGTGTATTGGGTCAGGCCATGGTCACAGGGTAGCCGAGACTTAAACCGACCCCTCTAAATCGGTTTTAAAAAGAAAATAAAATATAAAAAAAAGCATTGATACGCCCTGTATCGATATTTAGAACCTTAGGAATGGGTTTTGTTGGAAGCAGATCCCAACTCTTCGAGGATCATGTTTTCTAACACCATACATTTTTCTTTTTTTTTTTCAAATCCATGCTTCCTTTCTACCACTTAACTCAGTTTTTCTTTTCTCAAGATTCTCTTTTATCCTTCCTTTTTTTTCTTTCTTCCTGAATATGATTTGGCTTCCTAATTGATTTCAATGCCTTGCATTGGTGCAACCGTGCAAGTAGGGGTGGCCATGAGCCGAGCACTTCACGAGTTATTCAAGCTCGGTTTCAATCGAGCTCGAATATATATATATATATAATGAAAATATTGTAATTTTTAATTTTTTAAATATCAAATAAAAAATATTTATATAAATACTTTTTTATTTTTATAAAATATTTTTTCTCAACTCGAGCTGAGCTCGAGCTCAAGGTTCTAGCTCGAACCAAGCTCGATTCTTGTACTACCTTGGCGAGCTGAGCTTGAGCCTTGTATTATTCGGCTCGGCTCGGCTCGACTCGAATCCACCCCTAGGTGCAAGTATGTTAGCAGTGGATCCCAAATAAAATACGTAGAAATAGTCTCCCCAAACTTAGTATGGGATAGCCAATTTTTTTTAAGGCAAAAGGCCAATCAACAATGTGTTGAGGGTCATATTCATTAATAATTCTGCTCAGGATTACAATCAAGTAACAAAGTATCCCTCACTGAGTGGTGAGGGATCATAGACATGAGGAACTTATAATCTTCAATGGTGTTTCTAATTCTCCAAGGAGGAATGAAATTAGAATGCAACAAACTCTTGATAACTGTTAGAGAATGGATTGGAATATGATAGCAGAAAAACTTATAACCAATCAACTAGTATCATAAAATTAAATTGGTAACCAATCAAGTGGTTTTTATCAAATTCATGGGTGGGGGTTTGATTGATCAAAGCCCTTTCATATCGTGTTTTTATCATGTCTTTCCCAAAATCATAGTTTTATCCTAAGGCCCCATTCGTTTTTTAGTAAGTTACTTACCCGGGTAAATGCGGTTACCTAGGTAAGTTTTTCTTGGGAAATACTTACCTAGGTAAGTGTATTTTACCCACGTTCTTTTATTTCCCATGTAAAAAAGAAAATGACCATTTTAGCCATAAAAATCCATTATTAAATGGGGCATTTTTGTCCCATTTAAGTGTTGGAATCTTTCCCCCAAGGTGGGAAAGTTATTTACCCATATAGGAGATGGGTATCACTTACCCGCGTAAGTGATACCCAAGAAAATAAACTTTCTCTGGTCCCCACATTAATATGAAAAAAGAACACGGTATTCTTGGTCAATGGGAACCAAAATCCCATTGACCAACTTTGCCCCCTCTCAAAATCCAAAAAAAGAATGCCCCCTAAAAGAAAACAAAGACATTCTTTGTAAGTGTGATGCATGGGCTGTTTTTAAAAGGCCCAAGTTCTCCATGGGGGTGATTACATTAATTAAAAGGAAATCGGATTTGTGGGTGAATTTAATAGCACATGTTTATGTTTTTAATTTTTTAATTCAAAAAAAAACCACAAAAAATGTAAGGAGATTGAGGAAAGAGAATAAACTAGCATAGACAACCCATGCAATGCATGGGCTTTCTCAATCCAAGTCCAACTCAAGATTTATTTTTTGGGTTATGTCTAGTTAGTCTAACTACAATCCAAGTTGTGCCCTAGTGAAAATGGCCCAATTTTATATTAATTATTATTATTCTTAAATAAAATTTAAGTGGACTTCAGGGGTAGGGACATAACCAGTGTCTTATTTTGGAGGTTTTCTGACAACTACATGCTTCATGGGCATGTAAGATTAGCATTTATCTTTTTTCTTAATAATAACACTTTATAAAAGAACTATGTTAATTGCCGGAAAGACATGATACTAGAAGGGATTTGACCAATCAATCCCCCCTCCCACGAATTTTGATAAAAAATCCACCTGATTAATTACCACTTTTATGATGTCAGTTGATTGGTTATAAGTTTTTCTGGTATAATGTCTTTCCAGCATCATAGTCAAAATCTTCTTTATAAATGATTCATCTTTGATACTTTTCATGTTTCGGTGGAATAAGTTTTTCTTTAAATGGTTCTAGGCATGGCCCACTATGTGAAAAGAGAGATAGAAAGAAAGAAAGAAAGAAATTCAAAATATGATAGATTTAAGAAAGAAGACAAACCTTGTTGGTCTGTATATTGATTGTTAGAATTGTAATAATAAGACCATATTGTGATGGGAAAACCATGCTTAATTTTGTCTAGTCCAACTATACCTATAGTTCCTAGCAAAAAAAAAATCTATAGTTTAATAAAAGGATCTAAATCACCAAATGATCTAATAGTTCAGTTCGTAATTCAATATTCCTTAGTTTGAGGACTTGTGAAAGGGCAGGTTTCTTTGTGTAGTGAATGTCGGTTGGCCCTTATCTACATCCCTATTCTGGAGCTCAAAGCAGCATCATTATTTCTACCAAAAGAGCATCATGATCTATGTCCACACATCTCACCATAACACTGGGACCCATGATTTGTGTCTACAAATTTCATGAATGGTGAGTCCCGGTCTCATGGTGAGATGTATAGACACAAATATATCATGTTGGAAATGTGTTAAGACAGTTTTTGTTGGAAGGAGATCCCAAACATAAGATGTGTGGACACAACATGCATGCTGGAATAAATTAGGATGGTTTGGTTTTTTCTTGGGAGGAGATCCAGATTCCATCAAATCATAAGAATTTCTTGATGAATGAGATAAACTAAGATGAAAATTTTCATGAAGAATGGGTAAATTCGTGTAGTCCGTGGTTTGTCGAAAGGTGAGGATTTGCTTATGTAGATGAAAACTGTTGGATGAAGGAGAGAAATTATGAGAAACAAAAGAGCAAATTGCGTGAGTGGGGTGTAAGGGAAATCTTTCCTTTTTGAAAACTTTAGGCTGAC